GGGGGGGGGGGTGGGGGGGGGGGGGGGGGGGGGGGGGGGGGGGGGTCGTCCGTACAAAAGGAGAGCCGCCTTCCCTCGCATCGATCAGCTGTCGGAGATGAGGAGGAGGGAGAAGCCTCACATTTAGCTTTGAACAGAGTATGGACGCTGGGCTGTGGGGGTTCAGTCCCGGATACGACTAATGATAAGTTAGCAGACGACGCTTTTGGAAAACATACAGTGTATTCTTCATACACAGAGGGTTGAATGTAAATCAGTGTTTTCACAGAACGCAAAGCGAGCGATGCGGTGCTCACACTCGTGTTTACCCAGAACACGGCGTCCTCCTCGGCGGACACGCCTGCTCGTTCTCTCTCGTCCTCTTCCATTCCCCTCCATCTTCCTCTTCCTCCTCATCCATACTAATCACGCTCTACTCAGACCATCATGACTGCACCCTCCTCCTCCCTCAACCCCCACCCTCCAACGCTCCGTCCTCCACCCCCACTCCCTTCATCAATCGCCGGCTGCCATTGACGACGCTCGCTCGGCAACCGTTGCCGATCGATTTTCCCCACCGCCGCCGTCGGTAGGGGCTCTGCCACTGGTGGCCGCAAAACTCTCCTTCTCCTCATTATTTCCACCCTCTGCTCCTCTTCCTCTTCCTCTTTTCTTTTTTTCAAGCCACTGCGTCAAAGTGAAAAAAGAAAAGAAAAAAAAGAAGCCATTGTACAGGGTGGGGTGAAGGCGCCGAGAGGTGGGAATATTCCCACAAAGGGAGGCGTGCGATTGGTGGAGCGAGACGCCGGTCACTGCCAAGCCGCTCGCTGATAGGTGAGGAGAGCGGGGCGGCGATGAATATGGATAAGGGAGCGATGAAAGGGGCCGATGCAGCGAGGACGACTGGAAGGGTCCCCCTCCTCTGAAATAGCCTCGGTCCGTGAACAATGCACACAAACACACACACACACACACACACACCGACTAAAGGGGGAGAAGGAGGCGGCTGCTTCAGTTATCTTTGTTAGCGTATAGCCACCATGTCTGCTTCGATTCTACGCAGACGCCCTGATGATAGGGATCGTTTCAATAAGGAGGCATTTGATTGGCTCTCCCTTAACCTCCGTAGCAGGATGATGTTCTGATAAAAAGATGGCGGTATTACCGCGTCTGTGACCGACCAGGACTTCATATCTTACTTCTAGTCAGATACATATATTTACATTTCTGGATTTGTTAGGTGACCCGGTCTGTAGAGCTGTTTTTGTTTTAGAATTCCATAGTTTATTCAGATTATTGCAAAATGTTTTCAAATAACAGGAGCCACTTATTATTATTAAAAGAGTTGTGTGTCATCTTCAAATTGAAATGCCCTCCGTTTACAAAAAAAAAAAAAACTCTGTGAAAATCTCTCTGAGAAAATTATTTTCTGGCATGAAAACAAAGTGTTATGTGATTTGATGATGCTGGCTTCAAAATATAGATAAGCAAAACCTCTCAAAATGTAGAGGAGTTAAACCCCCCCACTCCAAGCAGGTTTTTGGCCCTACTTGTATCTCCAAAACTCCTTTTCTCGATCGTTCTCCAAATGTTTGATTCCTCAAAGGGTCACAAGAATGTTAAGGGCTTTCGTGTAGCGATTAAGAAAGCGGAGGGCCTTCCACGGCTGAAAGTCACCACCTGAAATGTCAAATCCGAGCCGAATAAAGGCTGTGGGAAAAGCAAAACGTTGCCGTTGCAGAGGCATAGGAGAGAACGATGAGGATGTTTCCTCCCGCGAGCTCGCCGCGTTCATGAGTGACGACGGCTATCTTTCCAGATCCGAGACAGCTGGTCGAAGCCTCGCTGCTGGAGAGCTTTACATGTTTGTGTGCGTGTGTGTGTGAATGCTACCCCCCAACAAAAGAACAGAGGACTGGAGGGGGTGTGTTAGACAAAGCCTGCCCCCCCCTTAACTCTCCCTGCTTAGGGGAGATGAATATTTTCCAAGTCCCCAGAGCTCAGAGCCTCCATACCAGAGCCCCCCTTCCATCAGCCAGGCTGTGTTCACACTGATACACTTCAGACTCCATATTTAGAGCTGACTTTCGGATACATGTCGATGTCCCTTTTCAGCGGGTTTCCTCTCATCTATCTCATCAACTTGGCAACATATTTTAAAGAGCATTTAGACCTTGATTAGTTTTTATTGTGTTGCCAGTGAGAATTCTAAATGAATGCTTCATATATACAACCAACACTCTATTTACTCATTGTGATAAAAAAATATACAATTCAACAGATGATAATACCAAACAATTGTGCTTCCTCGATAGTTCATTGATATCAAGTGTCACATTTCACTAAAACATAACTATTATAACT